AACGAGATTTTGAAAAATGTTTTTTTAAGAGTAAGTATATACTCAACATGAGTTTTGATGAGGATCCAAAGAGGTCATCCCTCACAAGTGCTACAGCATGTATTACTTTTTAATAATGCTAGCTTTCACCTTCTGAGTATTTACCATGTGTCAAATCTTTTGTAAACCACTTTTCAGATATTTTATTTAATCCTCCTTGTATCCTAATGGGAGACAGATACTTAATCAGTTTTAAGGAGGCGAGAAATCACAATTCAGAGTTGCCCAAATTTTTTACATAGTGATAGAGCTATTCTATTAGACTTCACTGTACTGTTTAGAGATGTGAACTTACATTTCCTTGTTTGCTTCTGGATAGTAATTTTGTATATCCTTATTAATGTCTAACACTTTATTTCTTAGTTTTTAGGTTTACTTAAAATATATGATATTGTTTTTGTTGCTTCAGTTTATTTGGAGGAGAGTCTTTAAACCAGTTTACTTTTCCCTCATTAGGACATTGTACATAGATTTAAGAGTTCATTTGAAAACAAGGCACTGGTATCTAAGTGATAGTACATCAGGAAGGTTGCTTTCCCTGCAAATAGCCGGCCTAGGTTAGATTCCTGGCATCCCGTATGGTCCCCAAGCAATGCCAGGGGTAAGCAGAAAAAACCTAAGTGAATGGAACAAGGTGCTGGACCAGGAAGATAGCTCAAAGGACTGAAGTTTCTGCCTGGAATGTGCTAGTCTTGAGTGCAATCCCCAGCACTGCATGATCACTGAGTACCACTAGTTCTATCCACAACACTTCCTAGCACAAGTGGACCAGAACATCCTCTTGTCCACACAGACAGATCAGGTATTATACAAAGTGGTGCTAGACTCCCTTGGTACTGCATGGGAGCTCCAGCCAAATTAAAGATAAGTAAGACCCCGGGGTCTTCATTTATGAGGCTATAGAAGGAACTGAAGTTATCATAAAAAGATTTACTTAGCAGGCTAGGGAGATAGAGCAAAGGGCTGGAGCTTTGCCTTGCCTGTAGGATGCTCAAGTTCAGCACCCAGCCCCGCATGGTTTTTTAAGATTCTGGTTATAACCCCCAAACAAACAGGAATATTTACATAGTGTAGGATAGTTGAGAAATTAGTATCTATTTAGATATCTCAGGATTTACTTTTACCTCCGGATTTTGTTGGTTATGTGCTGAATGTTACTTCTCAAACAATATTATGTAATGCAGTGCTTATCAATAGGAATTAAAATTTCTTATTTTGGAAGGATGTAGAATTTCACAGAACCCTGAAAGTATTGCTGGAGAACTTATCAAGCTATAAGTAAAATCATTTGCAGCTAAGAATTTAATAGAATTAGACTAATTATTAGAGAAAAAATTTCAAGCGATTACATAATAGACACCCCAAAGAATTACATCCCTAGCTCACAAGAATAAGACCTTTTGAAAATTGATAACCCCCTAGAATATTGCATGGTAATGGCCTTTTTTATAAAAAATAAAACTTAGGGGCTAGAGTGATAGTACTATGAGTAGTGTTTGCCTTGAATGCCAGGTTTGATTCCTGGCATCCTGTCTGGTTCCCAAGCACTGCCAGGAGTAATTCCTGAGTTCAGGAGTAAGCTCTGAGCATCACTGTGTGTGGCCCCAAATAAACAAAAACTCAAATGTGAAACCAGGATTTCATATTTATCCTTATTCCAAAAATTAGCTGTTTTTAAAAATAATTTTTACATTTTAAAAATTCAGTAATCTTTCCCTAGTGTTATGAAATGTTGGTACCTATTTTAGGAGACTTACTTTTAATTACTGTTTTTCTTTACCCATTGTCTTTTTATAGTAAAGACTTCAATTTACATAGCTGTTAATTTGCCTACAGCTGTTATAACTTGTAGTTTCTTGGAAACTTATGGAAAAGTTCTATGATTTAAAAAATTCACATTCTTGATTGTGCATGGAGTGTCTTTTATCAGATACTATGTAGTTATAAGTATCAATTTATTACTCGAGGCAAAATTTCAATTTGATAGACTTGAGTAATGTCTGTGAGAACTTAAATTTTACATTGTCTTCTTACTTTGAATTATCTGCTGCTTACTTTGGATTAAAATTGTTAAGGGGGGGGCATTTGCCTTGTAATCTATGGACCCAGATTCGATCCCTGGCATCCCACTCGGTCCCCTGAGCACTGCTAGGGGTGATTCCTGAGTGCAGAGCTAGGAGTAATCCCTGAGCATCACCAGGTGTGGCCCCAAGACAAAACAAAAAATTGTCATGGGGGAAAAGAGAGAGTAAGGTGGATAAGGCTCTTGCCTTGCATGTGGGTGACATGATTTCTTTACCTGACACCCCATGACACCCCATATGTTTGTTTCCCTGATGAGCCCTGCTAGGAGTGAACCCTCAGTTCAGAGCCAGGAGGAAGAGCTGAGAGTAGCTGAGTGTGACCCTGAAACAAACAACCAAAAGTCTTGTAGGCCAGAGAAACATTACAGGGTTAAGGCATTTGCCTGGAACCCTGCTGACTCGGTTTGAATCCCTGGTACCCCAGGGGCTGCTAGGGGTCACACCTGAGCAGAGTCAGGAATAGCCTCTGAGCACTGCCAAGGATGTGACCCACCCCACCCCCAATTAAAAAAAAATAAAGTCTTGGTAGGCATACATCTATGACCCAGAAATAGTTACTGGGGATCTCTGGGATAAGTAATATTCTCTTGTCTGCTTCTCCACACAGTATTCCTGCTGTTGCCTCTCTCAGAGTATTGGTATATACCAACGCCTTACATGGCTGGGTACCCTCGACCCCTTTGGGAGTTCCTGCTGTGGTTTAAAATCAGTTCAGGGCCAGGAAGCTGGTTCAAAGGGCTAGACTGCTTGCATAGGAGCCCTGCCCTTAATCCCTGGTACCACAGAACTCCAGATTCTATCCCACTCTTCCAGGCACCACCCAGAGAAGCCTCTGAGCACTGCTGGGTGTGACCTCGCCAAAGAAAATTTAAATTACAAGGGGGCTGGAGCAATAGCACAGCGGGTAGGGCGCTTGCCTTGCACGCAGCCGACTCAGGTTCGAATCCCAGCATCCCATATGATACCCTGAGCACCGCCAGGGGTAATTCATGACTGTAGAGCCAGGAGTAACCCCTGAGCATCGCCGGGTGTGACCCAAAAAGAAAAAATTTAAATTACAGTGATAACACCTTGAAATCTTTCTTAACTATTGTATTCTATACACCTATCCCATAAAATTATGTGTGTATAATACCTTCTGGAAGAAACTCCAGGAATTATTTATTTTGTAAGAGATTAGAAAGATATATATATATCAGGATGTACTCTTTCTCTCTCTTTCTCTCTCTACACACACACAGAGGTAGAAACAAAGCATCCTAATATTGAATAAGGCAGAAATTTTATATATATATACGCATATGTATGTATATCACAGAAGGCATACATATCCTGTTGAATAAGGCAGAGATTAAAGTATGATTCATAGATTTGTTATTTTTAAAGTATTTGTATGTAGTACACTTTGACTTAGGATTGAAAAGTTACTGTAAAATAATAGCCTTTGCAGCTGGAGAGGTAGTACAGTGGGTAAAGCATTTGCCTTGTACACAGTCAACCCAAGTTCAATCCGTGGCATCCCATATGATCTCCCAAGCACCACCAAGAGTAACTCCTGAATGCAGAGCCAGGAGTAAGCCCTGAACATCACTGGGTATGACCCAAAAACAAAACCAAACCAAGAGTTTGATTGTCTGTTAGTCTTGATAGAGCCTAATAGAGTGGTGCTAAGTGAGATAATTTGGAAAATACCTTTGAATTATAAGATAAAAAGGTAAAGGTAAAGGCCCTCCCGTTGATCGTCGATTTGCTCGAGTGGGCCCAGTAACGTCTCCATTGGAGACTTTGTTGTTACTGTGTCTGGCATATCGAATACTCTCGGTAGCTTGCTGGGCTCTCCAAGAGGGGCGGAGGAATTGAACTCGGGTCGGCCATGTTGGCTGCGTGCAAGGCAGACGCCCTACCCGCTGTGCTGCAAGGCAGATGCCCTACCTGCTGTGCTATCGCTCCAGCCCTGAATTAATCACTTCACTTAATCACTTAACTTCCCGTTAGTCGTCGATTTGCTCGAGCGGGCGCCAGTAACGTCTCCATTTGTCCCTGTCGCGTGCTAGTGTAGCCCAATGGCATCTCTTCGCTCCGGGAACATGGAGGGCCTCAAACCGATCGTTCATGACCTTGACAAAGAAGTCTGACCTTCAGGGTCAGGTGAATGAGACCAGTTGTAGTTACTGGTTTTGGCATATCGAATACACAGCGGATAGCTTGCCAGGCTCTTCCGTGCGGGCGGAATACTCTCGGTAGCTTGCCAGTCTTTCCGAGAGGTATAGAGCCAGCCCTGAATTATAAGATGGAAAATGAAAAATGATGGCATGATCCCCCCCAGAGCACGTCTGGGTATGGCACAAAACAATCCAAAAAGACAGCATTTTAATGGCAACTTTATATAGAAATGTGTTCTAAGTAAAGGCATTATTTGCATCCCAGTAAACATTTTTTATAATTCTGTACTGTTTGCTTTTAACATACCTTCATTAGCAGTCTTCCAATCTTTTTTTATTTTTTGGTCTCATTAAAATGTCTCTTGCCAATTGCATTTTCTATCTAAATTTTAAAGGATTTTTTCTTTCTGATAGTTTTCCAAATATCTATCCCTATATCTAGTTTCAAATAAAAATCAATACTGTAAAACAAATGGATAAAATTTTCTTTGTGGATGAGTAGATAAAATTGTAACGTAGCCCTTGTTAAATTATTAGTATCCTGCCATGGTGATTTTTTTTTTAAATTATATATCAGAAATCAGCTGGCTTAATAATGAGTTTGTAGTCATCCTGGTTCTTTTTCCTCTTGCTTAGGTGACATAAAGACTGTTTCTAAAGTCCAGGTTTTTTACTAAAATACTAAATGAACCAGTTTTTCTTTTCTACTTTGTAGATTTCTTGATAACCGGCTGTTCGCTACCTGCTCTGATGACACTACAATAGCACTATGGGATCTGAGAAAATTGAACACCAAAGTATGCACTTTACATGGTCATACTAGCTGGGTGAAGAACATCGAATATGATACTAATACAAGACTGTTAGTAACATCAGGATTTGATGGAAATGTCATTATTTGGGACACCAACAGGTTTGTGAATAGGAGACCATGTTAGGATTTTGAGAAAAAGGTTTTTTAAAAATGGTAAATAAATCTGGTTTTATATCCTAGCTTTCATATATCTCTTTAGCCTAAAGAAACTGCTTTTGGGTAAAACAATCAAAAAATGATTCCAGAGCCAGGGAGATAGCTCGGAGGGCTGAAGAATTTGCTGTGCGTGCTGGAGTCCTGGGTGTGATCCCTGGCACCACCTGGTCACCTGACGACCATCAGGAAAGAACCCCAACCAGATCTGGGAGCATCCCCTGCGCACCACCAAGGATAGCCCCCAAAACAGGGAAAAAAAGATTTTGTCTTCTGTTACTTGCAGTTAATTATATACTATAATTTTTAGACAGAATTTTACGAAGAGGACCAAGGAAATAATGCAGAAGCCTTGCATGTGACCAGCCCAGTTCAAATCCATGGCACCACATCTAGACCCCTAAGGAGCTCCTGAGACAGAGCTAGGAGTAGGCCCTGAGCACCGTGGGTGTGGTCCCAAAGCAAAACAAAATCTTTTTTCTTTGAATGGAAAAATTAATTATGAAAACTGGCTTATAAGTGTCCTGAATTTTCTTTTCTTTTTTTTATTTATTTGGTGGGGAGGGGATTGGGCCACTCCTGGTGGTGCTCAGGAGTCATTCCCGGTGGTGCTCGGGGTCTGTATGTGGTGCTGGGGAGATCAAACTGGCATCAGCCACATAAATGACAGCCTTATCTTTCCAGCCTGGGCTTCCTGAATTTAAGGAAAAATATTTTTGTATTTTCTTTGTGGGTCTGCAGTGTTTTTAAATTTTTTTTTTAGTTTGTTTTTAAACCTACTTGTAATTTTTGCACTTTGTTTTTATGTTTTAAGTGTAGATCTCAGGAATGGAGAGATATTAAGCTGGTCCTTGTTGAGTGCTTGCTTTTCATGCCGAAGACCCAGATTTAATTCCTAGCACTGCATGACTACACTCCCCTCACTGCCCCCTTGAACCACCAGGAACAATCTGAGCACAGAGCTCAGAGTAGTCGCTGAGCATCACAAGGTGTGCCCCCTCCCTCCCCCACAAAGTTGAGGTTTTAGAAATAAATATACTGATTGCTAGTTATGGTGAAATAGCAATGCAATAACGTACCAATCTTTTCCCTTTGTTCTTTCTTATTTAGGTGTTATTTCTGAATAGGAGTATTTCAGAATAAGAATTTCTGAAATATTCTCCTGAGGCCATATATAATAAGAGAATTTTTTAAAATTAAAAAAAAAAAAGATCTTAGTTTAAAACGTCTGTTGCTTAAGAGCCAGAGTTCAGCAGATAGGATGTTTGCCTTGCATGTGGCCAACCCAGTTATATCTCTGGCATCTCATATGAGCCACTGAGCACTGCCAGGTGTGCCCCTCCCCCCCAAAAAAAACTGTCATTGGCTCATTGGTAGAGCACTTGCCTTGCATGTTTGAGACCCTGGGTTTGGTTCTGGGTACTGCTGGAAGCAGCCTCTTAGCATCAAGTCAAGCATAGTCCCCAAGCACAAGGTCTGGCCCCACACTGGCGAGATTGCTCAATGGATCCCGCATGGCATGGTCCTTTCAGTACCACCAGGAGCATCCCCTGAGCACTCCCAAATGCAAAACAACCAACCAAACAAGCGAAACTATTCTTTTTTAATGGACAAAACTAAAAACTACTAATGTAGGAAGATTGAAAGTAGAGGCCGGAGTGATACTACGGTGGGTAGGGTGTTTGCCTTGCACGCAGCGACCTGGGTTTGATCCCTGGCATCCCATATGGTCCCCCAAGAACCGCTAGGAGTAATTCCTGAGTGCAGAGCCAGGAGTAAGTAAACCCTGAGCATTGCTGGGTGTGACCCAGAAAGCAAAAAAAAAAAAAAAAAGAGAAAGATTGAAAGTAAAATGATGGAAAATAACAAGTGAAAGCAACAACCAGTCAGAGAAAACTTTACCTACATAAGTGGCGAACAGCAAAGTTTAAGGCATTCAATATTGTTAGTGGTAAAAGATGTATATTAAAATGTGTGTTCTTGAAGCTGGAGAGAGAGCACAGTGGCTAGGGCACAGGCCTTGCATATAGCCCAACCCAGGTTCGATCCCCCAGCTCCATATGGTACCCCTAGCACTCAGGGAGTGATCTGTGAGTGTGGAGCCCGAGCGTTGGCCCTGAGCACAGCCGAAAGTGTCCAAGCCCCGCCCCACTCCCTCAGGGGAAAAAATGCCCATTAGAACAAATAGTTAAAAGTAGAACCCAAATAATTCACATCTTATATGCATATAATAACAGATTCAAACTGTAAAAGGCAAAAATGAACAAAATTACCAAAAAAAAAAAAGTGTGAAATCCTCATCCTCTGCCACTAAACACACCTATTGCCCTACATAGTTTGAATTCTGCTCCCTTGAGTGGTGAATTTACGTCTGAAGCAAACTAAGAATATATCCAGTGACTGAACATTTACTGGGCTACAAAGTAGGTCTTACTCTCAAAGAATGATTATCACACAAATTCAGCACACATAGCACAAAACTAAATATTCTCATGTTTGTAGATAAGTAAACTTTCTAAATAATCTCGGGAAAAAGTGTAGTCAGAAGGTAGACCAAAAAATTAATAAATTAATCATCTAACTCAGAAAAATGACAAGATTAAACCCAATGAGGGGCTGAAGAGACAGTACAGTGGGCAAGGCGCTTACCTTATGCCCAGCGCAGGTTTGATTCCAGCATCCCATAGCGTCCCCCATGCCCTGCCAGGAGTGATCCCTGAGCGCAGAGACAGGGGTAAGCTTTTTTGGCTGTGGCCCCCAAATGAAACAGTTTTATAGGTGACTTCTGAAATATCATAATCAATGAAATATTCCAATTTTATCAAACTGCTCAAATTCCAGAAAAAAAATTCCTTCATATATTAGGACCAGCATATCGAAACTCAAGGATAATAATAGAAGAAAAATTTAAAAGATCAGTATGTATTATACTTTTGGATGTAAATAGTCTTTTTTGAAAAAATTGAATCCTGTAAAGTGTTCATTTAGAAAATCATGATTGGGGCCTGAAAAGATAGTACAGTGGGTAGGATGTTTCCCTTGCACAGGACTAACCCGGGTTCAACCCCCCTCACTGCATTGTCCAGCAGCACGGGAGTGACCCAAAGCGTCCTCCCCAATCTGCCTGTGATTAAAAGCCCACATCTTAAAAGTCATACTGATGAGTACTACCAGACATTTACAGAATAATTAGACTTCACAACTTCTCAGAAAGTAGAGGACACCTTTTAACTCATTTAATGATTGTAGCATAAGAACAGAAAATTGGAGCTGGAAAGATCGTACAGGGGTTAGTTGCTTTCCTTGCACACTGCAGGCCCAGGTTCTGGTTCCCGCACAACATACATCGACCAGGAGTGGTCCCTAAGTGCCGAGCCAGGAGTAACCCCTGAGCACCGCCAGTGTGGAAGGAAAAAAAAAAAGAACTAGGGCCCAGGAATATAGTACAGAGGTTGGGACACAGGTTTGAACTCTGGAACTGCATTTCAGCCCTGAGTATTGTTGGGTGTCACCCTGGCGGCCGTTGACCCTTCTGGCTCTGTGCACTGCTGGGAAGGCCCTGGTGGACTCTGGCTCTGTAGGGCCAAGCAGCTGCATCCTTGAGCCCTCATATTGAACCATCATCATGTGAGAATCTCCACAAGTGGCCCTTGGTCCCCCTGAGTTATGCTTGAGAGGACCTCCCCCAAAATAATAGAAAATTTAGAACAAAGTTTTTCTTACACACAGTTCTATAACAAGATGCAAATTGGAATTTAGCTCAGGGATAGAGGATTGACTTAACCTCCAAAAGTCTTACATTAAAGGGGACAAGGAATGACTCCATGACTTAAATTGCCCACCTTACGAGTATGAGGTTGGAAGTTTGATCCTCAGTGTCACCCAGTTGCTCTTGAGTGCAGTTCCAGCATCTTTGTGGCTGGGGAGCCCAGTACGTCTGATAATTTCTGCCACATATGTACACAACCAAATTTGCATAACTATTTCACTAAGGAAGTTATACAGTACGTCTTTGACACACTGCAGCTAAAGATGTGGGAGCTCCGTGGCCAGGAGTGTCACCCCCAACAGCATGTGTACGAGCAACACCCTAGTGAGCTCCATGGCTGAATGAGCACCACAGCCTGATGTGTAATCCTGGTAAGCACCATCACCAAGAGTGTGAACACCACAACCAGGCATGAGGCAACCCTCAATCAACACAACCAAACCGTAGTGAAAAAAAGGGGGAAATGTCTAATGTTCTATATGTATGTGACTACTTATAAATAGTATCAATAAAAGCAGAAAGCATTGATAAAATGTAGCATATATTTGTGATAAAACTAGGAATAAAGGGATACTTCCTCAAACTGTTACAGTATTTGTGAAGAACCTAATTAAAATTAAAAGCTGAATACATTTCTGATAATTTCTGCCACATATGTACACAACCAAACTTTAAAAATAAATTTGCATAACTATTTCACTAAGGAAGTTATACAAGTAATTAATAATATATGAAAAGATACTCAGCCAGCCAGTGATAGTACAGCAGGCCAACCAGGTTTAATCGCCTGCGTCCTGTATGATCCCCTGAGCACCACCCAAGCAATTCCTGCATGCAGAGCCAGGGAGAACTCTTGAGCGTCACTGATGTGGCTCCAACTGCCCTTTTCCCTGACCCCAAAAAGGAAAATAAAAAATGTTCACCATTAGGGAAATGTAAGTGAAAACCACAGTGAGGTGCCCTTTTCCACCCACTAGGTTCCTTTAGTGGAAAAATAAAACAAGTATTGGCAAAAAAATGAGAATTTGGAAACTCATATGTTGCTGGTAAGAATACAAAGTAGGGGGCTGGAGAAATAGTTCCGCAGGCAGGGTGCTTGCCTTGCACGCAGTCGACATGGGTTTGATCAGCACCTCATGGTCTCCTGAGCCCCACGAGAGCAGAGCCAGGAGTAAGC